TTGTTGGTTGTCTGAGGACCCCTGTGACTGCCCCACCAAGTTATGAATTGGGCACTGAGAGACTGGTGACAAGAACAAGGTGCCTCATCAGCCTGTGCTGAGCATCCCAGAGTACTTTGAGAACCAAGAAGCCATGGTGAGCCTGACCCCTTACTCTGAGGCTGCCTAGGTACCCTTATTGTCTTGGTTTCCCTGCCCTCTAATTTCCCTCAGCCCTTTCCCCTTCCTGGAATCTGTGGTCACACAGTGTTACACCTGTGAACAACAGGTGCACTCATAGAGGCCCAAAAGAGGGGCTCTTCTCCACTTGCCTACCCCCAATTTGTCTTGTTGGTTCCCCCCACAAAAATATACCCCTCTTACCCCTCATGGCTCTAGCCAGTGCTGAGAAGGAGCAGACTCCACTGCAGGGGCAGATGAAGAAACATAGAGTGTGCTGTCAGCTCCTGGTCAAGCTGACAGACCCAACCAAGAAGGAGCAGGAGGAGATGACTCTAGTCCCTAGGGCTAGGGGCAAATTTGTGTCTGAGAGCTCCAGGCCCTCCAGGTGGCCATGGAGAATCTGCAGGTGAAGGAGTCTGTCTGCCTGACAGGCCCAAGTAGGCTGGGGTGGTAGCTACCTGACTCTGGGTTCTGGCTGCAGAGCTGCTTCATGAAGGTGATGCAGGAGAATGCAGACATGAAGGAGGGAATGGAGGTGCTGGAGCATTGCTGCATCCAGCTGTCTTGATAGACTGACATTATCAGTGAGCCAGGACTTAGGTCCGTTGTATGGCAGCTCCCTGGGGCTGGAGGGCCAACTTCTGAGCCCTGTCATCCTGCAGGTGAGTACATTGCCCTCTATCAGAACCAGATAGCATTGCTGAAGGAGCAAGGACCAAGAGAAGGAAGAGAACTTTAACCAGCTGGCCCAGGACAAGGAAGAGATGAAGGTAGGGCCCAAGACCCGTCTGCAGTTCAGGTGGGTGGTGGGCGGGCACCGAATACCTCTCCCTTCAGGGCAAGCTGCTGGAGCTGCAGAAGCTGGTGTTACAACTTGTGAAGGAGTGCAAATAGCGGCATGGCAAATTTCTGGTGGCTGCCCAGAATCCTGCTACAGCGACCACTCCAGGAGCTGGGAGCTGCTGATGTGTAGAAGGCTGGTGAGTGGCATCCTGAGGGATGGGGGCAGGTGCCAGGCAGGGCACAGTGCTCAGATGCTGGCCTCTCTCCATTCACAGATCTATGTGAGGTGAACCTTGCCAACGATGGGGAGCCTGCACAAGGAGAGATGGGGGAGGGTTCGCCTCCAGAGAATCTTACCATACAGCAGATCATTCAGCTGCTGCATGAGATCCAGAAATCCCAGGAGCACCCAGGCTTGGGCAACAACCCCTGCATCCCCTTTTTTTACCGGACTGATAAGAAAGACGAGGTGAAGATTATGGTCATCTAGAGACCAGAGAAGTATGGCTCAGGGCTCTGCCCCCACACTTTTTCTTCCCCTCTCACCCTGTCCTTGCCACCACTCCCTCCTACCCTGTGCCTGCCACCTTGTCCCTGTAACTCCTTCCCTGTCAGTCCTCCCCACTCACCCCTTTAGAATAAGATTAGACCCCTACCTAACAGTGAGACAAACCGGTGCAGACTCTTTGCCATCTTGATCAGGGCTCAATCTGAATTCCTGGGTTTGCTTTCTTCCAGAAAAACAAGGAGCCAGAGGCTCATAAATTTAGTTTCTTTGGAGGTTGCCCCTCAGGAGTAGAAGTAGCAGGGACTCCCTGGTGACCACCTCACCCCACCAAGCAGGCCTTCCTTCAGATGACTCCCTTCTCTTACTCAGAGACACTTGGCCAGGACAGTGGGGTGGCATTCTCTCCAAGTGGACAGTTGGGCTAACAGTAAGCCAGGCAAGAGCACAAGTTCCTAGACTGGGCTCCCCTCCCCCTCTGTATATATTGTATTTGTTTAACAGTTTGCATATTCTGTTGAGCCACCCCCTGTATTAAAGCAGTGGTTGAAGCTGGCAAATGAGAAGATTCTAATAATTATTTGGGGCTAGAAAACTTATTTTTAAATAGCACAGGACAGAGGAAGGAGGCAGAGATGGGGTTATGGCACCCTGGTGACCGGCTCCAGTTTATTTTGCTTTTTTAAAAAAATAAAATAAATGGATTTATCCTCCTGCTCAGTGTTATATTCCTGTTTCCAGCACTGGGTCCTGGGTTTGCTCCACTGAATGGTGGAGTGAGTACCAGCATAGGGCAGGCATCTGTGTTGTTCAGACCCCCGGAGTGTCTAAGTATGTCCAACGGAACAGTTAGGAACCTTCCAGCCTTGTCACCTGTGTATTGCTTGGTGATGTATGGGAGATTTCAAGAGGACTGCTAGGACAGTAAAGAGAATCTGAAAGGCTTTATTTAAAAAGTGTGTAAAAAGAATTTTTTTTTTTTAGTGAGAATCTTACTTTGTAGCCCCAGCTGGAGTGCAGTGGCATGCTCATGACCACCACAGCCTCGACTTGCCGGGCTCAGGTGATCCTTCAGCCTCAGCCTTCCAAGTAGCTGGAATTATAGATGTGCATCACCATGCCCAGCTAACTTTTGATTTATTCTAGAGACAAGGTCTTGCTAAGTTGCCCATGCTGGTCTTGAACCCTCAGGCTCAGGCAGTCCTCTCACCTTTGCCTTTCTAAGTGCTGGGATTATATGTGTGAACCACCACCGTGCCCAGGCTCATAAAAGGATTTATACAAAGCTCAAGGGAGCTAGGCTCAGTGGATTCTGTTTGTAGTCCCACCTACTTGGAGACTGAGGCTGAAGGATCACCTGAGCCTGGCAAGTCGAGGCGGGAGGATCCCTTTGAGCCCATGTATTCAAGGCTACCATAAGCTATGCTTGTACTACTATACTCCAGCCTAGGCAGCCCTGTCTGTATAAAAATAAAGATAAATAAAGCCAGAGGTGGTAGATCTAAGATGCCACCATGAAGCAGCAGACTAGCCCTGAGCAAGGCAGAGAGTAGGGACCCAGATGTCTAGTGACAGAGGCACCTCAGAAACTTTTGGATAGGTGAAACACCCTGCACCCAGCAAAGATCTCTTTGAACACAGACCAGAAAGTGAAGGCAGATGCGGGAATCAGGGCACCCATCTTCTGCATGTACCAGGTTCACACAAGAACTGAAACCATGTCTGGCAAACAAATGTGTGTGAGTGAGCCCAAAACACATTTCCTGCCTCCCAGCCAAGCACAGGTCATTGACCTCACACAGGAAGTCTCCTGGACATGGCACAGCAGTAGGCAACAACAGCCCAAGCAAAATGGGAGAAAGACCCACACTGGAACAGCCACTGCCTACTGGACTGACAGCTTACAGGGAAAGCCTGCCTGCAGAGTGAACAAGCACCACCAGTGGCTGCTGGCTGTCTCCCCAACCTTCTCTGTTCCTGATCTGTCTTCCCCAGATCAGGAACAGAGAAAGTAGTCAATCAGTAACCACTTCCACACTCTGATGGGAAATTCCATCTCCAGCAGCTTCACCCGGTTCTCCCCCTCTCAACACATCCTCCTCTCCCTTTCCCAAGTTTCACATCTCACCCCTCCTGCCCTCCAACCCTCCTGCCTCAAAAGCTGGCTGTGTGGACTCACATCCTTTGTGCGGATGACACATATTTCTTGACATAACTTCTCTTGCAGAAGAACTGACATAACTTTAGGATTTAAAAACAAAAGTAGTGTTAAGGATTGAATGAGACATTTGTGTTGCATACACCATCTCAACATAGCAAAGAAACCTACACCCCTCAAAGAGCTTAAGGAGTTTTTAAAACTAGTGTTTGGTAAAGCCACACATGTATATTTATTCTAAATAAACCCAAACTTTTGAAGTGTGCAGTTGAGATTTTGCAAAATCAGTAATGGAAAATGATATAGAAAAAAGTTATGCTACATACTCTAATCAAATATGGTAACCAAGTAAGCCTTAATTCATCACTAGGAAACTAATCAGTAGTTGACTTGTTTGAGTGATCTTTTGTTTATTTTTAAAAGATGACCTATTTTGTTGAAAAATATGTGTAGAACCCAAGCAATATCTGAATTTAGCTCCTGGTGTTTTGACTTGGTTCCAAACACAGCAATGTTTATATTTTCTATCACTTTGTGAAGATGGACTCAGGATGGGCATTTGTGTCTTCATTCCATAAGGTATCCCCCTCCCCCCCAGACCTATGCCCTCTCTGTTTTGTATTTCTTTTTGCAAAGGTAACTTTCTGGCAATGTCTATGTTTGGTGGTGGGCTGCACTGGCTCCTGACACAGACTTGCTCCCAAATTTTGTGTGGGCAGTGAAGGCTTCAACATCTCTTGGACACTTTTTTTTTCTACAGCAAAGGACACAAAAAAAGATAAAAATGAGTCAATCTTTCATTTTGTATCCTAATCAAACAACATACATGCCAAGGATAAAAGGCAAGAGGGTGGAAAATATCTGAACAAGAAGGCTCTAAATGGAGTTACTTAGAAACTTAAGTTTACTGTGAAATGTTTTGCAAAGACACTTAAAATGAAATTTATGTTAAGAAAACCACTGTGAAACTAAATTGTACTGTTATTATTGGCTTACCTGTGAGTTCAGCCATCTCAGCCCAAAATTATTTTGTAATTTAAAGAAAAAGGAAAATTCTGTTCTAATGAAAGTAACAATGGCTTGCTGTGAAATGTACATTGTCATACAGAAGCATGTTTCACATGTAGGTAAACTGATTGGTCGTATTAGAAATACAGATGCTAGCCGGGCTCGGTGGCTCAGCCTGTAATCCCGTGCCTTTGGGAGGCTGAGGTGAGTGGATTGCCTGAGCCCGCGGGTTCGAGACCCACCTGGGCAGCAAGACCTCATCTCTACAATAAATCAAAAAATCAACCAGGCGTGGTAGCACATGCCTGTAATTCCGGCTACTTGGAAGGCTGAGGCGGAAGGATCGCCGGAGCCCAGCAGGTCAAGGCTGCGGTGGCTGGGAGCGGCCACTGCACTCCAGTCTCGGCAACAGAGTGAGACTCCACCTCAAAAAAAAAAAAAAGAAATACAGATACTATTTAATTTTAACATGTTTCTTTTATTCATTTCTGAGATTACAGGACAGAGTTTAGCTGATAAGCTTTTCTAGACCAATTTTTTGTTTCCATGTTAATGTTAATAACAGAACTGTGGGGTATATGTGTGTGTAAACATGTGATTATGTGTTGTATTTTAAAACAATTTATTTTCTTGGCAAGATTTTATTATTTTTATCCCTTCTATTTAGGAAGTTCTTTCTGCTTAGCAATATAGGCTTAAAAATACATTTTTAGAACATTGGTACAATTTATCTATTGGAAAATTAATTTATTGAAGGGCCTTTTTAGGTATAATTTCTGTGCAGTAACTAAAAGAGCACCTCACTAGGTATGGACATTGAAGATGCATTCAGTAGGTGATTTTGATTTCTTCCTGTCTGCTGTGCACAGCCCACATGGCAATGCAGTTCCACCACTTCGGTTTCATGACTTCATTTAAAACTCAGATGTCTAGATTAGATAGGTTTTTAAATCACTAGGATGTAAACAGTAAGCACATTTCTGATACACAAGCTAGGTTTGAGTAACTGCTTTTCTCAAAGAGCAGATATCTGATAGCTTTGAACTACACTTATTTCTAAAGCAATTGAAATTAAGTGCTACAAACAGAGGATTATAACTTCAGGAGAAGAATAAGCAGAAGGAGCAGATGAACTCTCAGGGCTATAGTCTTCCTTTGATCTTGTAAAACTCCCATTGGCATCTGGAGTTCTCAGTCTGGTGAGAAAGTAAACTGAATGTAACAAAGAACCAATCCAATATTTTGGCAGACTTTAAAACCATATCATACAGGGACTCCCCTGTCGTCCAGAAAAACTGACATAAGGTACAGATCTATTCTTATCAAATGTTTTTAATGGGCTACTAGAAGTCTTTAAAAAATATTTTTATGGAAATGAAACTGTTATTTCTTTATGTAAATAAGAAGTATCTTGTTACAATGCTATTTATATTTTTTTCTAGTCTTGTAATTTTAAAACGCTAATATTAATGGTATTGAAGTTTTCCCTTTTTTCCTTTTCCTTTCCAGGTCTTTTCTCAACAACAGTGAATTCACATGGAGTAATTTTAAAAAGACAACATTTTGCTATTCAAAGCAAATTATGCTCTAAAACCACTTTTAAAAGTATGAGAAGGAAAACAGGATGAGATATGGGGTTGGGACTGTTCAATTTTTAAAGATTATTATTTTTGATTAATGGTAACATATTTCCTCTGATTTTCAAAGGATAAAAGTGTTGTTTTAAAATTGGCAAATGCCCTCTTCAGAGAGGCTAAAGGTTCAATTTCATGGGCTCTATGTAGGCAGTATTCTCACAGGATGTACAAATATTACCTGC